TGCCCTGCATGGTTTTGCTCAGATAACTGAATTAATTTTCAAACCTCTCCTCATATGCCCTGCTTGAGCACCTCTTAGAAACTACCACTAACATTTAATTTCCAACTATTCTTTGTAACTCAAAGTTATGTCAGAGGCAAATAAAACCCTTCAAGAGAAATTCAAGAGCCTGAGAAAACAATTTTTTTTCACAGCAAGAACACAATCCACTTTCAGTTACAATGACGAGCATTAGAGAGAACACTTAGGTAGTTATGGCTTAACAAAGGCTTTCATTTCATTGTACACCACAGGAAGAAGGTAAGCTGCCTTAGAGAAAAAAACTGTCAATAGTAAAGGGTGAGAGCAGTTATGGAGAGCTGTGAACAGGTAAGCAGCTGGATCACAGGGCAGAGAAAAGTAAACCTGAGATGTGACTGGGTACATGGAAACAGCAGAAAGATGGATGGGGAAAACCCAAACCCACCAAAACCACACCAACAAAACCCCATAGAACAGGGGCAAGAAAGATTTCACCTGCAGTTTTGCCCCGAAACACAAGAACAAGAAGGCATCTAAGGTTTTCTTCGCATCTTTGCATGCGTATTTCCTATACGGGAAAGGCCACTTTGTCACAAAGTCTCCAGAAAGAATGGAGGGACTTAAGTGTTTGCATTTTGGGGTTGCTGCTGACAAGACTGTTTTCACTCTATACTGAGCTCTCAATTTTCTTTAGCTCAAGGTGTCCTCCAGCCTTTTAAACAGTGGCCTGGAGCAATCTTGAGCCAATCATCTCATCCTGGTCCTCCAAAGAGCCCTCTGCCTCGCAAGCTTCAGAGATTTCCCTGGGGGTGGGACGAAGGAAGAGGTAGCTCCAGGGCAATGCCAACTCCTAAACACACTCTGGGACATAGAAGCTGTCAAATGCTGCTCTCAAGCGGAGCTGTCAAGTTATTTCTGTATTTATACCTCTAAACCCATTCATAGCCATGTCCAAATCAACCCGCTAGACTGCCTCCCAACATCTCCCAGCAGTTTCACACTTCGGGCTTCCAGGAGACACTCAGATGTTGTGAAGAAAAGCAGCAAACACTTAAAATATACTGCCTGCATTGCTCACACCCCACTGAAGACTGTCACTGTTCTTTGTTGGAGCCGTCACAAACCACCATGCAGTAAATGACAAGCCAACTCCAAAGCACTGCACCTAGTAAAAATTTAATATAATAAAACAAATTGAAAATGGCAACATTATTTTAACCGTTCACAATTAAAGTGGAAAAATTATAAGGCAGCCATTCATGGAATGATTTCGTGTACAAATGGTTTTGAAAAAGAGACATTAAAATTACAGTCCCATACATGGAGTCAGGTAAACAGCAATGACCAAGCAATGTTTTCCCCTAGAAAGCCAAGGCTGCTAAGGGATGTAATAAAAGGACAGGAAGAAAAAAAAAAAAAAAGAAGAAAAAAAAAAAGTTTTATTTTTAAAAGAGGTGAACAGGAATCTGAAATTTATCATATACTTCCCCACCATACTGCAACCATTCCTCCCACTGCCACCCCCAAAAGAATACAAATACACTTCCCTCGTCTTTCTCCCAAGTCCCCGCACAGAATGGGAAGGGAGAGGGAGCAGCAGCACCATTTATTCCACAGCATCTCTCATTCTGCATATAGCTGATACCACAAGGACACATCTGCTACTGTCAAAAGCTCCTTGAAGGCTCTGAACTAGTTCCTGACCAAACACAGCAGTTTTCCTAGGTCTCTTGGATAGCGTTAGCCTTTTACGCAATCCACCTGGAAACGGTTATTTGAAGTCAACAGTGGGTTCTCTGTTTAACACCCAATCATTTGACATGCGACAACTACCAAGAATTCCTATCCTGGTGTGACAGCTCTGACATTCTCACTTAAGTTAATGTCAGTGCACCTTCTGCATCTGTCATCAGGTGATGACTGAAAGAGTAATATTTCACTTCTTTTTGTAAGGAACAACAGAAGAATTAGAACAGTAAGTAAAGTAGCTGAATACAGCAGGATCAACAGAAACAGCTTTAGTCCAATTCCTATCATCGATTAAGAATCATTTACAGAAAATACAGCTGATGAGAAGAGTATAGATTTCCTAGAGGAATTTACAGAAGGAAATGCACTTGGTTAAAGCATTACCTGCTAGGCTTACTGCCACCTACCTCACATCAGAGAACATGGGCAGAGATGCTATTACAGAGAGTAAGAGGAATTTGTTTGGACGAAGGTCCCCTGAGGAGTAGAAAATGATACCAGATGGCACTGACTACATGTAGTGCCTGGACTTACTGTGGCAGATGGGGAAATAGGTAAAAACGGAGCTATGATAAAATGGACTATTTTAACTCATTAAAATACTCTGCTTCAAGAAAATAATCCTCCATGTGGAACTAACGATTTGGAAAAGTTTGATCATTTAAAATTTTATATTCCCTTTATCACATAACCAAAAGCTTCCTTAGCCACTGCAGTTTCAGCTACAGAATTGAAAATAGTAGTTCAACACAGAGATAACAGAGGCAGCCAAAAGGAAATCCTATTGCTACTTCTAAATGGGTAGGGGAAAAAAAATAGCAAAGTCTTCTATCACTTAAAATTCCAAAATGAAAGTATTATCAGAATTTTTGTGCCAATTTTAAAGTGCCAATGTTTTAAATTAAAATTTCTCACCTGCTTGCTATAACTTAGCCTCTCTAGTTCATTAATAATTAATCTGAATATTAGCCTTTCTGGTGGCTGCCCCACAAATTAGGAACAGGATCTGAGGGCCTGGGGAAAAGAAAGACGACGAGATCTCTCAGCAGCAGCACCTCTGATGATTAATACTCCAGAGATTACATCAGCAGTGAAAAGGCCAGCTGCTACATCCTCATCAGTGCACACTGATCCTTGTAAGAAGGTACTTCGACATGCTCCAACACTGGAACAAAAGGCATGAAGTGAGACCTTACCTATATACTTCCCAAAAATGTTGCTATTGTTATACACAGAATGAAGCAGAAGTGGAACACACTCAGGATGCCATTTAACTAGTGGGGTGCAAGTGAAAGTGACAGATGATAGCTTAAAGAAAAAAAACAACTTACTGTTTCACATAACATAAGCATCTGGTGTTGCACTACAGTATCTCCTGCTTCTGCTGCAGATCTCGCAAACTCTCCAGCTTCTGGAAACAGTTACATGGGAAGATTAAGCAAGGTAAAATACTGAGATTATCAAGGAAGAAGGTATTTAGGGGGAAATCAGGAAGAACACTGGGAGCTCTGGTGAAAATATGCCCGTGTATCATTCGCATGTGTCAGTAACCTGTATTACTGAACTTTTTAAATAAGTAACTTAGAAGTTGCATATATATGTTGTAAAAAAAGGTGCAGGAGAGGATCTCATTTATGCCACTAATTTTGCAGTGGCTTTTCAGAACAGAATTAACTTTTGAAGGTCTAATGTCAAAAATGCTTGTTTAAGCCTGATATGCTAATTCTATCTGCAAATACTGTCTTGTGGGAAAAAATGATTTCTAAGAATTTTGCATTGATTTTATACAGTAAAACACACAAATGAACAAGCACTCCCAGAGATCAATACTAGGTTCAATCCTGGGATACACCTGTACTATTACTAAGCCACCAGACAAAGCAATCACTCATCCAAGAACAGGCCATACCCATTATTGAGTTACTAGACAAACAGGAAAATGACAAAAATGTAAAGAAGTTTAAGAGGCACAATGGCCTGCGTAGTACAAGTAATAAACAGCATGAGAAACAGACACACTCATTCAGATGGAAACAAGAAGCACTTCAGTTAAGAAGATATTTCAAGCCTTGAAAATCCATTTGAAACAAACAAACTAACAAACAAAACAAAACGTTTGGCAATGGTATCTTTAAAAAGTGCAGACATTATAGCTTAAAAAGGGTATGGCATTGAAAAGTTTTCCCCTAAAGAAATAATTTTATATTGAGTCTGCTCATGTCAAGCTTTCCTGACTTTTCAATGCACCTCAGTTATTAAATATATTTTGCATAAGAGAAATGGTGTCTGACACGAGAAGGCTGTGCCTTGGAAAGGATGGATCTTCTATCACTCTTCTGCAGTGAGAGGTATCAGCAGTTGGCAATAAGTCCTCCAGTAGATTCACCAAAACTAATGCTTACCAGAGTAAGAGGCAAATGCACTTCCCAAAGGAAAAACAAAATGACTAACCGGTGCACCGAGAACCCACCAGTTTGGGTATTTTGTTTGTGGGGTTTTTGTTCAGAACTGCTTTAGTAACACTTTGTACTCTGTATGTAGCACAAATATTTAGTTAAACATCTTCTTTTGTTAGCCTTAACACCTTTTATTTAATAAAAAAACCCCACACCCCCACTGATTTCAGCAGTTCAGACTTTTGAAAATGAGCTGGTAAAGTTCTCTGGTCCCTCAACAGCTGTTGCCATCAGATTTCTACACTTCAGAGCCCAGAACAGCTCGGTTTCAAAGGACACTATGGGTATCTCTTTAAACAGTAGCAGTAGTGTAATCACAGCACCCAATACTTAATTCCTGCTAATGTTTTTGGTGCCTTTGCTTTGTGGACTTGGCAGAAGACCATCTCCCAAGAAATAGTGCCTTTTAAAAGTTTATTAACAATTGCATAAACAATCAAAACACTACTCTCCTTGCTTCTATCCTTTGCCTTAATGGAATTAACTGCAAAATTTGTCTGCACTTCTTAACCAGCTGATTTCCTACTCTAATCCTACACTTTGTCTACATCATTTTTTCCCTATCAGTGACACTTCCGTGACAATTGCAGTGTTGTTCAGAGTTCCGAGTGTAGCCCATTTTTGCCATACAATTAGTGACAAACATCATAAGGACCAGTTGCATTGTCAGGACAACATAGAACCGACGGGGGGAAACCCCCTTCTTCATTAGTAAGACTTCAATCTCTCACACAGCAGCTGTTCTTTGTTTTTCCTCTCAGCTGTGAAAGCTGAATTGCAGGATACTTTGGTGATTGCAATTTCACGATGAGTCGCTAGGTTCTTCCCTGCTCACCTTTCTTAAACTCCAAATTCCATCTTCCCTGAGAATAGGGCCAGAAGTAACAATTAAAATAGCAAACGTCTTCAGAAAAGAAAGTTACATAGAATTACATCCGGCTGCCAAAGTACATTTTGCTACACTAAAAGCTTTCCCAGTATTCCTCATTTTGCAATCAAGGTTCCCTCTGAACTCCATAAAGTGGATGGGATGGATGATGGGTAAGAGACAATGATAAAGGGAGCAGCCGACATTTACTGCTCTTGTCAGATTGAGGAGAACGGTGAAATTCGAGCATTTAGTGATGGTGTCCAATGGACAAAACTAGAGGAATAAGGCACCCCATGACTAGGGCTGCCACCTCCAGACGACTGAGTCCTTTTCCTCCAGTTGATTCAGGTTTGTGGCTATGAGCAATTCCTCCTACTTCTGGGAGGACATGAACTGTGGCAACATAAAGAAAAGTCCCAGCAGAAAACAGCATAGCAACTCCGGTGGCATTAACCTCTGAAAGGGCTTCTTTGCTGCTCTGAAATGGAAAGAGACAGAAAGAGCAAAAATAAGGACAAGCAGATGTTCTTCAACCAATAATAAAATTCTATAAGCAGCCAGACACAGTACGACTTCTATCAGCTTTTGTTCTCTCTCAGAGACAATGGTGTAATGTGTTGCTTTGTGTCTTGTGCCTTGTATGTAGCAACTGGCATACTAAAGTTAACATGTCAGAAAGACACCTCTCATCCTAGTTAGTTCACTTTGGACTTCTAGGAATCCTTACAGAAGAAAAGAGTCATAGCCTGTACTAAATGAAGCATCTTATTTGACCATCTCACAGCAACATACAAGATGTCAAAATGACAAAGTGCACTTCAAAAAAAAAGTTCGTATTACAAACCCACAAATTTTAGGAAGGACTCCCAAGACTTTTTTTCTCCACTTTTTCTAAGCAGAGTTCAAATCAGATGGTAGCCTTTAAATATCTGGTCCCCTGCTGGTCAGAGCAAGATTTGCTAGATTTAAGTCCCAAAACATCACTCATTCAGTATTTCTTTTGTATGTGCAAGTAAACACCCAAATCTTTCCCAGAATTTCCATGCAAACTTGCTAAAGAAATGCATCTTCTGGATCAAAACTGAGCACCTCTGCAGGTTTGTATTAGGATTAAGATCATAGCACACATCATTAAATGTAGTGAAATGCAAGCCCACTTGTGTCAGTTTCAAAATGAGTCTTGAACAAATTTCTAACTCAAATATGATATTAGTTGTCAGGTTATTTTTCCAGACTGGAGATGCATCTTCTGCTCTGGAACTACAGAACACTGTGACAGCCCTTATGCCCTATCAATTCTGTTTGCAAAAAGCAAACCCAACTCTTCGTAAGCCTACATCGAATGAATACTCAGACAGCATTCTTATTTCTATTTACAAACCCAACCCCTTCTGCTGTCTCCTGTACTGCAGTATCAAATATCAGTGCTTTCCAGCAACTAAAGAGATTAGCCCAGGTGATTTACTTAATCTTTCCTCTCATGCCTTGAGTTTCATGAGATCACGTTAGATTCTTTACAACACAACACCATAGTGTCACCAACATGGCCCACAGCAATTAAAAATACAGGATTGTCATAGAAAATGCTATAAGAAACAGAAGCATTAAATTTGGACAGAGATGAGTCATATGCAGTGGCCCACTTCGCAGGCCATTTGTTGTATAAAGCCAAGACAAGACTATGGTTTAAGGAGTGCAAGAGGCAAAAAGGCTGTTCTAGCTGAAGAGTCAACCTCTGATGCAGCACGAAAAAGACAGGACCAGTTCTGAGATGGTGGGAGAAACTAGCAAAGATTATTGGGGGTGTACAAGGATGCCGAAGAGGGACTCTTCATCAGGGACTTTAGCAATAGGACAAGGGACTCTTCATCAGGGACTGTAGTGATAGGACAAGGGGTAATGGGTTTAAACTTAAACATGGAAAGTTCAGGTTGGAGATAAGAAAGAAGTTCTTTACTGTGAGAGTGGTGAGGCACTGGAATGGGTTGCCCAAGGATGTTGTGAATGCTCCATCCCTGGCAGTGTTCAAGGCCAGGTTGGACAGAGCCTTGGGTGACATGGTCTAGTGCGAGGCGTCCCTGCCCATGGCAGGGGGGTTGGAACTAGATGATCTTAAGATCCTTTCCAACCCAAACCATTCTATGATTCCATATTTTCTACCTGCATATTAAAATGCATGCAACAACACTGAAAATTCCTCAGTTATAATCACAAGGCAAAACCTGGTATATGAATAAATTTTTCACAGTGGGGAGAGGCAGAAAAAAGTCAGAAACCAGCCTTCTACAAAAAGCTATACAAAACTCTATAGAGGAGTTATATCACTGGTTCTGATGGAAAGCATGGGTTTTTTTTATTTCATGCATTCATATTGCTACCTGTTCATCTGCTTATTTTATCGTCTCCATTCTGCTAAATTTTTCAAGCAGTTTGGAATAATGTTCTATGAAACTTATTGATTCCTTTCCCCAACCTCCACCACCAAGCTACATTTTAGGCAGAACAAATCACAGACCTACCTTGCTTAGCCCTAAGTATGTCACCATTGACATAACAGGTGCTGCTAACGCAAAGACCAGCAAGTGTTTTCTAATTCGATTCCGTTCCAGCCCAGCATGCATCAGGAAGGAAACCAGGCCAAAGGCAGCTGGTGCCTGCAAAAAACAATATTCACTTGTAATACAATACTTTCTAAAATCCCCTGAAAACTAAGATAAAGTTGAAATACAACTTGCTACACTGAAGTGCACAGAATTGAAAGAAATTCAGGGAGAGAAATAGCATGTTGCAGTTAACCCAAACACAACAGTATACTGCAGACAGCCCTTCCTTAATAACCATACATAATGGAAATTCATGTTCTGGCTATCAGAGAACACATATTTGTGTAGTCATTATAAATACTAAAATGTTCATTCTTACTCGAGCCATTGCTGTAATCCCCAAGTCTCCATAAACTTATGTAATTTCTTTTTTCATCCTGATACTACTACACCACCTTAGATGGAAAGGATCTTTATCTACAGCAGAAAAAAAAATCTACAAAATCCCCTAAGATAGATAACTGTCAGCCTTCACATGACCAAAGACTTAAGAGCTCTTTGACTAGTTCATCATTCAGTTTCATTTCTGTTCCCACTGGGAAGCAAACAAACACTTCCTTCTCCCTCTGCTGGCATTCAGTTTCTTATCCACAAGTCATAGCTGTCCTGCTACTCATGGAACTTACTATATTTTTGCTTGCATAAGGACAATAGCAATCCACCCTGACATTTTTCAGGTAAGACAAACTAAAAATACATTGAGCAGTTTAATACACAGATTTATTTTTTTTTTTAACCTAGAAGAAGGAAACTATGAGTGAAGGAAAAAAGCTGAGACAAACAAAAACACCAATCAGGATCAGAACACTAGAAAAATAAAAAAGACGCCAGAGAAGAAATGCATTTCTCTTTCAATACCAAAAATTTCTTGATAAGCTTTAATAGCAGAAATTTCCTTCTTCTGAATTTATACAATTTCAAAAGTCAGTTAATTTGAACATTAAGAGTAACAACAACAGGTTTCACTTGGCAATAGCCATAAACAAAGATTCACAGCAAGATGTGATGCTGACGTTGCCACCTCTGAAGACAGTTATGTAAACCACAAGTTTTGTACGAACAGTGAAAAGATATACTAGATCCAGCTTTCCTAACATTTTGACCATGCAATTATACTTTCTGGAAGAATGTGTGACTTACTACTGTAATGTGTATGTGCTACCGCAAGTTGTATGTGCACCTGCACACGTGTTTAGAACCTACATAGCTAATAGGTATCTTTACACAAACATCTTCCCATCTTCCAGAACCATTGTTTGCTTACTACCATCAGAAAAACAATTTTTTTTTGGTATATGACTGATGTTGAAGCTACTACAATAATGAAGGTAACCAGAAGTTGCAATTCAGTACTCTGTTCAGTGGTTTCAAAAGATTAACCCTTTAAAACAGTAAAACCCTAACAAATACACTTACCATTTTCTTAAGAACATTACAAAAACCCTGCTGTGATTAGCATAAAACTACTTTTCCTCCTTGAATACACTAGCATATACTTCTGTGCTCCGTCCTCTAGAACTTCTCTGAATACAACTCTTACAGCAGTAAGAATCTGGGAGAGGGGTTGTTTGAAAAAACCAAATACACTACCAGACTAGCTTCACAAAAAGTCACATGAAGCTGCCACGTTTTCATGGGCTGTTCTCTTGTTTTGGGACACTTTTCCCAACCATTGCAACTAAGGCAGGCAGTAGGCAGGCAGAATTCTCTCTCATTCATACTCCCTTCAGAGTTAGTACTCATTGCTATTCTGTCACACATCATACCAGGGCTTTTTGGTCCTTGAAGCTGTACTGCTACCCTGTTAATTTCGATGGTGTTACACATTTCCGTATCACATCACTAAGGAAACTTCAGTTTTTTAGTAATTTCTGTATGCTTTAACAGTCTTCTAATGAGCAAAAAAAAATTTTTTTGGGGTGATGACTTACCTTGTGCAACATAATCGCAACAAATACTATCAACTGGACACTAGTCTGAGAAGTAGAAGCTGCTGCACCCAATGCAACACCATCAGCTGAAACAGGAGTGCAAATTCATGATTATTCCTCCACATGAATTTCAGCTTTTCCACCCCCCCAACAGCTGATGGTACAAAACATGCTGATTCAAGAAGTCCTGTTACTCAAAATGCCATTAACAATACCAACCTAACACATGATTCACTTCCCTTTGTTTGTTAAGCCACAACAATTTTCAGGGTATTAGACAACCTTCAGCAGGCGCTGTGTTTAATTTCCCAAGACAATAAAAAACATACTGAGCATCCATTCAATACTGAAACATTCTGACAAATTAGAATCAGGTAACAAGTTTAGTTTAGTCTTCTGTAGTAGACCTGGTATCTGCTTTAGACTCTTAAGAAAGAATTTTAATTACTACTCTTTGAATTAGTTTTCAAATAAACTGTTGTAAATACTATTTTTTTACCATTTAACATAACTATATTGTCTATATGAAATAGGAAATGTATTCTATATTAATCCTGAATATATAAACATTTCATTTAGTGAAGAAATCTTTTTACCAACATCTTATGACTTATCTAGACAATAACCATCAGCAGGAGAGATTAAAAAGTATATTTACACTACACATATACAGTGAAGAATTACAACATGAACACATTGATTGCAACACACACGTAACTTTTTCAGTCCTTACAAGTCAGCCCAAATGTTCGTCAAATCTTTGTGCTCCACCCTATTATGTCCTTTTTTCCAAAAAAGGTATGTTTTTAAACTTAACAGATTTTTAAATACACAGGTCAGCTGACAAGCAAACCCAAAGGTGTTTCATACTGCTTATCAAATGTGTTGGCATGTACTGAAATTTAGCAGCTAAAGCAGCCAGCAAAGGAATTGAAGAGGCACAGTGAGCATCACACAACTTTTCAGATGGGAAAAATAAAGAGTTACAATACTGTACCCAAACAAAACTCTATGGAACATTCTGAGCACTGGAGTATGTTTTCCCATTAAGTTTTGGGGAAGATCCTTAGTTCTCCCCACCCTGTGTTTTTGTTATTGGTTGTTTGGTTTTGGTGGGGTTTATTGTTTGGTTTGTTTTTAAATAAAAAGCCACCTCCAAGGAAAAATAAAACCAAGCGTTTCCATCACATCTAAAGATAAGCTGCACAGCAATAGAAGTCCTAGCTAACAGAAGTTGAAGTCCTAACAACAGGTCCCACATTACCTGCAGCATGAACTACTAGTCCTAGTGTTGTGGTGATTTTGGAGTTGCCTGATCTTGCAGCTTCTGGATCTGAAATGATCATAAGGAAAGTTAAGATAAAGAGAAAAAATACATAAATTATGCTGAAGAAATACGTATCACTGCATATGTTTCTACCAGCTGCTTAGGCAGTTATATTCAAAACTACCAGCTTTTGTATTTCTGCATTAGGTTTACCATAAAATAGCATGATACTTAACACCTCCAAATCACCTAAAGTTCTGTCAATAAGTGACAGAATCATAGATAACGCTTTGTAATTACAGGATCATTAATATAAGCAGCAGTAGTTAGGCTTTTTTTATCCTCCTGAAACCAAATGCTATAGTTCTGTGCTACTAGGAGGAAGAAAAGCTAGTTTTGCATGCCCAGAATCCAGAGATGCTTGAAGAGTCAGGATGACCTTTTCCCAATGTAGCCCAACATTCGCATTTTCCTTCAGGTGACAGTCTGAAGGAAAGTCTCTGCTGCACTGATTCTCTAGCAATTCCTCATAAGCAATAAATTCTACTTGTCACAGCAGCAGTTGCAAAGACTTCCCTCTGTTATTCATCACAGATGAGAAATGCAACCAGTGCTGGTTGAGATCCAGTGTTTTGCTGCAACTGTTTGACAACCACTCTGAGGACATTTGCAGGTTAGCTCATTACAAAGCACAACAGTCCACCAGTCCACCACTACGCAATCAGCAGCAAAACTGTACAAAGAATCACTGCAATGAACAGAGCAGGCAAGTCCTACACGAGTACAGAAACCTTTTATTGTTCAACTATTTAATTCCAAACAGTTGAACAGCTGTTTCTTCATTATACTAGTGGTCAGTATGCTGATGCAGGCACACTTACACAGCTACTTTAGTAAGTCTGCACTGTAACCAAAACAGAGAGGCCAGTCCTGTTCCTTTCTTTTTGTCTCCCCACCTCCAGTTTCTCTCCCAGTGCCCAGGCATCCACATAGTTGGCCAGTGAGTCAGATCAGGGAAGGGAGCTGGCTAACAATTAATGTATTCTCTTCAGTCAGATTGATCTTCTGAACCTAGGGGAGCCTATTTGAGCAATTCATTGCATAAGCTGCATTTGGGCGACTGTGATGGAATACTCACATCAAATAGGAGGAGATATTCACAAAGAATGCTTCCTTTGAATTTGTTTCAGATTGACCAGAACAAAAAACACTCAGAAAGCCACATTCAGTTTCATATCTCCATTCTGGCCAACAGAATTTTTACTGTGAGGGTGGTGAGGCACTGAAACAGGTTGCCCAAAGAAGAGGTAAATGCTCCATCCATGGCAGCGTTCAAGGCCAGGTTGGACAGAGCCTTGGGCAACACGGTTTAGTGTGAGGTGCCCCTGTCCACGGCAGGGGTTGGAACTAGATGATCTTAAGGTCCTTTCCAACCCTAACTATTCTATGCTAGTAAATCCAGCCACTTCTAAGACAACAAAACTACCAGATGTTGGTTCAAACAAGAAACGTGTTTTTCTCAGGTAGTTTTAAGAAACATTACAAAAACACTACTACATTTCTTCTGACAGGAGTTGTTCTGGGTTCAGCTACAGCAGTCATTTTTTCTCCTTCTTAGTAGCTGGTGCAGTGCTGTGGTTTTGACTTTCAGCCTGGGAACAACGCTGATAACACCCATGTTTTTAGTTGTTGCAAGTAATGGTTACTCTGACCAAGGACTTTCTCAGTCTCATGCTCTACCAGGGAGAAGGGGAAGCCGGGAGGAAGCAGAGACAGGACATTTGACCCAAACTGGCCAAAGGGGTATTCCAGACCACAGCACGTCATGCCCAGTATAGAAACTGAGGGGAGTTACCCGGAAGGCCCAGATCACTGCTCGGGTCGGGCTGGGTATCGGTCAGCGGGCGGTGAGCAATTGTATCTTCTCCCCTTGTTATTTCCCTTATCATTATTATTGGTAGCAGCAGTGGTTTGTATTATACCTTAGTTACTGGAGTGCTGTTATCTCACCCGTGGGAGTTACATTCCTCCGATTCTCCTCCCCATCCCTCTGGGAGCGGGGGGAGGAAAAAAAGGGGGGAGCGAGCGAGCGGCTGCATGGTTCTGAGTTGACGGCTGGGCTTAAAACCACGACAGAAGTACAGACTAGATAAAACTTTACTTAATACCGTATTTTATAGCATGTATCTCTAACAAATTATAGTCAATTTTCTCCTGGTATTTGCTCTGACCAGAGACATCGAAAAAGGTCATGAACTGTACAAACCAAGAATCCTCCTGGTAGTTGCTCACCTGCACCCTCTTGTCATCCTTAGTGCGACTGTTTCCTTTGAAAAGCTCTGAAAATCAGTTAGCCAAAACTGTGGCTCCATTTACGCTTCTCCAGGAGCATGGAGGTGTCACAGTCCCTGCACTGGCTTCCCATCTGTCCCACCACACTAATCCCATACAGGTATTTCAATAGCTGCACTGTGAACCGTCAAGGATCCAACCAAAACATACCTATGTGTATGTGTGTTTTACGCTTCCTTCAAGACAAATTCCTTAATTTTTGAGGGACAATTTCCACCATTAGAGAAGATTATGTAGGAGAAAATGAGCAGCCAAAGGCAATAAAATACCTTTTCGGAAGATAAAACTCCTTCAGTGTGTTCAGCCTGAGCATGAAGCCATAGGCAGAAAACAAAGGCAATTGTTGGCATCTTTATAGTTTTGCAATGATGCTGAGATATCTTTACTCTAAGCAGGCAGCATGTGGAAGTAAGTGGGGCTCTAGACTAGTATGGGAGTACAGCTGTGCAGTTACAGTAAAGGACCAGGGCTTACATGTAGTCATTTTTGGAGTCTTACTTAAGGTAACTTGTTCTACGCAAATTTTACCTACATGTATGACAATTAAGTAGGAAAAACAAACAAAGATAAGACTAACCTGAAGTTTTTTGGAAAGCCAAAGAAATCCCCTATGGGTGATACTGTAAAACAGACAATAACTCAAGCGTCACTATATGTGCTCATACAGTTATTTCATGTTAGCGAAGCAAGGTCCCAAATTATGCTGAATTCCAGGGTAGATTTCCAGCACAAACATTTCACCACAGACCTTGCTTTATGTTTGTAAAGCACCTACTAAAACTCTTGACATGACTGGTCAAATTAAATCCCAGTAGCATTCATAAAAATTGCAACTTGCTAATTAAGACTAAGTCAACCAATCAGCAAGTCTAATTGAAGTGAATTTTTACTTACCATCTGTAGAGTGCACATGAGAGCTGCCTATCTGATCCACCAACAGCATGAAGACAAAGCCAAGGACAAGGGATACACCAATGTAGGCATGCAACCTGGAATGGTCATGGCCATACTCATGTGCAACTGGGATTTCTGCCACCTTCTCAGACTCAATCACGTGCTGCATCTCACTCGCTGGGTGATGTTTCCCTGTAGCAGGTAAGCAAACAGATTAGGAGACAGAGGACTAAACATGGCCAAACTACTTTAAATGCTGCATTTTAAATACAAATTGAACAGAATTGATGTACAGGGGCAAAGAAGTTGATGTCATCTACCTGAACTTGTGCAAAGCATTCAACACTGCCCTGCACACCATCCTTGTCTCTAAATTGGAGAGTCATCAAATTGATAGATGGACCACTCAGTAGATAAAGAACTGCCTGGACGGCCACATGCAAAAAGTTGGGGTAAACGGCTCAATGTCCAGTTGGAAAACAGTAACGAGTGATGTCCCTCAGGGATCAGTGTTGGGACCTGTGTTGTTCAACATCTTTGCCAATGACATGGACAGTGGGATTGAGTGCGCCCTCAACAAGTCTGCCGACAACACCAAGCTGTGTGGCTCGGTTGATACACTGGAGGGAAGGGATGCCATCCAGAGGGACCTGGACACACTTGTGAGGTGGGCCAGTGCCAACTTCATGAAGTTCAACCAAGACAAGTGCAAGGTCCTACACCTGGGTCAGCACAACCCCAGGCACAGCTACAGGCTGGGCAGAGAATCAATTCAGAGCAGCCTGAGGAGAAGGACTTGGG